TAAATAAAATACTTACCTTCATCAACTTTCTCAAACTCTGCCAAATCATTCTCAGTGTCATGAAGATAATATGAAGGTCCACGTAGCCAATCTTGAGCATAAATAAGGGCTTGCAAGCATTAAAGAACTCCTATATGCATCAAGCACACAACCACCGGTGTTAAAAGCTGATTCCGAAGCAACTATGGATAGAGGAATCGCTAATACATCACGAGCTAGTAAGGCAAGAGTAGGATACCTATGATTATTGAGTTTTCACCAAATGAGAACATCAAAGTCATCGCTATCAATTGCATCAGGCTCATTTAAACTCAAATACTTCTCTAACTCTGATTTATCCTCTTCCCTACCAATTGCAATCTTATATCTCTTAAATTCATTCAGAAGAGCAACACTAGCACTGGAGTCAATATCATCATCAAATTCTGAAATTTGGCTCACTTGGGATTGGCTACTATCACCAACTTTCTCCAGAGGAGGCTGTACGTTTTTTTGGTATTCAACAAGCAACTCTTCCATTGTTTTTTTCAAACTCACACAAATCGATGAAGCCTACTCATTCGAATACATTTTCCTCAAACAAAACTCCACAAATACAAGTTTCTTCCTTTGATCAAGAATAGAAGCAACATAAAGCAGCTTATTCATTTTTTCTATATTTCCCCAATACTTATCAAATTTCCCTTTCATTTTCTTTGCCATTGTTTGCAACTCAACATCAAGATGTCTTTGTCTATCTCTCAAAATGCAATAAATACCACAAATATCATCAAGAAAAGTATTAATCGTGGCATAAGAAGTACTTGAAACTTTTACTGTGAGTGTGTAAAAATGTTTCAAGAAAAGATTCAACCTTCTCACATTTTCTCAATCTTTATGTATAGGTATCCCATCTCCCATCAACAAATCAGTTCTATACTGAGAATCAACTTTTTCAAATAAATTAAAGGCTTCTTCAAACTTTTGAGCTGTTTCTAACATCAAATAAGTGAAATTCCATCGAGTACTAACATCCAAACATAACAAATTTTTTGATTGAATATTTGCAGACTCAACACATTCTTTGAACTTTGCTAACCTAGCAGGTGACTGTCTCATATATCTAACAGCCCCTCTGATACAAGCAATTGAACCATTCATTTTCCATCAATGATAATGAGATTAATGATATGCGCAATGCATCTCATATGTAGAAATTTACTTTCTAAAAAACTATTTCCTGATAAGTTCAATTTTTTCTTCCTATGTGATATTGCAACATCATTGGAACTAGCATTATCAACAGTAATAGTGAAAACCCTACTAATCCTCCAATCACGCAAACATTTATCAATCATTTTCCCAATGGCCTCCCCTTTGTGACTATAAATGGGATAAACGTTTAAAATTTTTTTGTGCAATTTCCAATTATTGTCTATAAAATGAGCCGTAAGACACATATAATTCTCTCTTTGAATTGATGTCCATGTGTCTGTGGTCAAAGAAACTCTAAAAGAAGATGTTCTCAATATATGCTAGAAACGGTTCTTAACATCAACAAAAAGGTTAAAGCAATCTCTAACAACAGTCCATCGTGATGGCACAATAAATCTAAGATATGAAGTTGACATGAATTCCTTAAATCTTTCCCTTTCTACAAATTTGAAAGGTAACTCATCTCTAATGATCATCTTAGCTAGAGACTTTCTAATAACTTCTTGACCAAATTTCCAAGTTCCTATTGACCCATCCCCTAATTGAAAAGCTAACTCAGTTTGACTAGAATCATTATCACAACTAGAAAACTTTTTACAAGAATTCATGTGATTCTTCAATGAAGTTGTGCCATTATATTTAGTATTAACAGAAAGTACCCTATCACAATAATTATATCTAGCTTTTTTTTTACCTTGATCATTGACGAATTTGGTGAAGTGCTTCCAAACTTCAGACCTCAGTGGAAGTGCTTTCCGTTTCTTAGAATTGACAGCATCACTTTCATTAGTGGAGATTATAGTTTGCTATGTAGTTGGTGTTCATGACGATGACATCATTCTAATAGGTGTAGGCTGCGTAATAGCATCACTAAGAGTAGGAGCTGGATTATCGCTTTCACTTGTCATTGAAATCTTCAATCTATCACTCAAAAAGAATTAATTAATTAGCAAATATGGTATTCAAGAATAAAAAATCTATTAAAGAATCTATCACTAATAGCACATATTAAAAAAATATGAGCAAAT